CGCCTCGCGGCTCCCCGGGCCGGACGGCAGGCATGGCGGGCAACCGGCAGGGCCCCGCTGGCGAGATGGATCAGCTCCGGGACAGGAAGGAGCCGCGCTCCTGAATTCCCTGGAACTAGTAGACCTCCGGCGATGGCGCTTGGTCGAGGTTTGGGCTAGAATTGCAGGCGCTTTCGGTTCGAAGGAGAAGCAGAGAGGGACGGACTTACACCTAGAGAAAGGGAAGAACTGTGCCCGTGCGAGCACGCCTTAGAAGACCACGACTTGGGGCAGGGACAACTTCCGAAACGAAATCCCCATCGTTTCATGCAGCTCCCCTCTCATCAGTTGCGTCTTCCTTGCGCCAAGTCACCCCGGATTAAATTAAGGAAAAATAAGGCCATGGTTAGGGCATCGACCAGGGAAGGAGGCACCACAGAGGTTTTTGCATTCTGGATTTACCATGGCCCCTGGTGCAAATGGTGCACAAACCACCTCCAAGCCAAATCCTTCTCTCCCTCCCTCCGTCCCTCCCTCCGGAGCCCCCAGGAAGCCACCTCCCTGCCTAAAGTACTGTAATTGAGTATGAACCAGTAAAAATGAAAAAAAGTAATAGACTCAACTAGCGAGCCACCTCATGTTTTGAGTGAAATGATCAATTATCTTCATGATTGCTTGTTTTATTATTACCACATCTGTATTTTGGCAGGTTGGGTGAGGACAAGGAAAAAAAAAGAGCTCTGGTCTTTTAGGCCAATGGCCTCTGCACTCTTCATGTGCAAGCCAAAGAAATAATAGCCACTGCTAACTGCCCCAAAGGGGCTTTAAGCTCTAGCTTGAGATTTTCAGTTTAGAGTCTAATAAAATCAGTCTACATTAAACAAAGTGTAAAAGCGCAAGATCTGGTGGAAAGCCATATATGATTCTGCATATGATATGTGGTTGTCCCATGCTATACAATTATCATAATTTTCATGTGCACATTATTTTTTCTGACAAGCCATGGGACCTGCCACATGTTATATTCACAGGGGACACCATATCATTATCATAATTTTCATGTGCACATTTTTTCTGCCAAGCCATGGGACCTGCCACATGTTATATTCACAGGGGACACCATAATCTTTTCAGTGCTTTGGGCCTCTAAAGGTCTCAATCCAGCCCTGTTCCAAGTCCAAGCTCTTTCCATGTCAGCAGCAAAATGTAGAGGGCGATGGGGTCAGAAACCAATTGTTACATTAAAATAAATTCAGATCTCCCCAATTCACCCAAGATTTAAAAATAGAGCTGGATCTACTTTCTTCCTAGCCTAAGCTCTGCTTACATTTACATGTAACCAGTTTGTTGAAACAACACTTGTGCTCTCGGGGAGAAATAATTCTCAATAAGCTTAAACTGTGGCTATAAGACAGGCTAGTTACACTTAGCTTTTTCATAAAGCACAAGGTGCAAAATTGTGTGCCCTTAGTTCTCCAGGATAAAACAATAAACCCCGGGCTTATACCTGACACCATGTGCCAGCTACAGGGTAATGATGAGCTAGCATCAATGCATCATAGTAGCTAAAAGAAACTTTACTGGCCAGATGGCTAATGAGGAAGAAGGGTCCACCTTACTCATCGTCATTTAGTCGTTCAGTCGTGTCCGACTCTTCGTGACCCCATGGACCAGAGTACGCCAGGCCCTCCTATCTTCTACTGCCTCCCAGAGTTGTGTCAAATTCATATTGGTTGCTTCGATGACACTGTCCAACCATCTCGTCCTCTGTCGTCCCCTTCTCCTCTTGCCTTCACACTTTCCCAACATCAGGGTCTTTTCCAAGCAAACAAACTAGGACTGCAATTTATTTCAGTCTCTGTGCATGTTGGACTGGGTGAGGGTGCAATATTGGCAAAAATATGTTGCAGTAGGCCACCATTTGATCCAGCTAAACAAGACTACCTTATGAATGTTAATAAAGGAGAAAAGCAAATGTCAAATTAATTATTTTATTGTTACAAATGCAGGTTATTTCCAGTATGCTGTTGTCCTTCAAGACATGCCAAAAGATTTTACAAGTATTAGATAACCAAATAAGGACTTTTTTCTGGCTCATGAAAGGCATAGTATAGTACAGTATAGAGAAGCCTAACTCAATTGTTCTTTCCACTCCTGAAAATACTGGAGTTTATTTGTAGTTATGAAACCACATGCTGAATTAGTGCTTTCTGTTAGTTTTTATTGTATTGAACTCCAAGGTTTAGAAATTACAAACTGTTAGTCTGATGGAAAGATTTCTCTTAGTTTTTCCATATTTGTATTTGAAATAGCATCAAAACAATCAATTCAAAAAAGCAGAGCATTATGTATATATAGCATTTGAATGCCTATTCCTTCCAAACATTGTTCACAGGCTTTCCAAAGTTCCTTTACAATGATTTATGTCTCTTAAAGTTCACCCCTAGAGAAAAAGAGATAATTGACTGTTACTAACCATACCCTAGATACCCAGTGTGGTGTAGTGAACAGAGTAATGTACAAGGACTTAGGAGGCCTGGGCAAAAATCTCCACTCAGCCATGGAAACCCACTGAGTGTATGGAAGTGGTAAAACCATTCACTTACCTTGAAAGCCCTAATTGGGTTGCTGTAAGTCAGTTCCAACTTGACCGCATATAGCAGCAAGAACTATACCCCAATCTGCTGTTCACATTAAAATGTGCAGATGATGTTCAAAGATGAAATGGCTTTTTTGTAGTAGCCCTTGCCAAACAAGATGTGTGAACATGTAAAAAACAGCAAAGTACGGAGCGGGGGGCACTAGTCTGCCCTGCAATTATTTAGTGGGTATGTATATTCTACCCACCAATAATTTATTATATATAATAAACAAACAAACAAACAAACAAACAAACAAATAAATAAATAAAAATAAACTGTGACTTATAAGAGAAGCATGTAATGCTGAACTTCCCACTTCAATCACAGCATATAGTGCAAAGAAATTTCACAAGTTTTTTTTTTTTAAAAAAAAACAAGGGCCAAGAGCCACTATGGAGGAGAGATTTATACTGGCAGAAAAAAAAGCTAAGTGATTCACAGTGGGATGAAAACAGTAGCAAGTTCTGGAACTGCTGCAGCCAGGGAACAACAGACTCTGGGACAGGTGTCATCTGTCAGTGGCCAGAGGGCTATGTAGATGTCAATGGTTAACTAAATCTCATATAGGATATATCAATAAATGTGATTTAGATTATGCCATAACTATGGAAATCTGGCCAAATAAGAGACAAACTGTAGCAGGATGTAGTTAAGAAAATTTGAGAACAAGCATTGCTCCCAGTTCCAGTGAACTCGTCAAGCATCAGCCACCCTCCTAAGCTATAAGCTGTTAGCAAAGCAAGCAGCAGCCAAGTTAACATTTTGTTTCAACCTTGAAAATCACACGTTTCCTCCTTTGGAAATAAATCATACCCACAATTCTTATTCTAAGAAAATAAAGGAGCTATTTTGTATTAATAATACAGAACACACTGAGATAGGAAATATAATAGGAATCTCAGTTCCGGCTAGGCCTTCTGTCTCTGTGCAGTCAGATATAGCACTCAAATGGGGAAGGACCATGCCTTTGTCAACAGTTAACTTCTCCCATCATTACATGAGACCTGTGTGGGCCAAAGGCATTCTAGATTCCAGCTTCAAGGATTTACCAACAAACTTCAAAATAGTGGGCCTTTTAAAAAACACAACCAGACCATATTTTTAAACATAGTGTAGAAATAGACAGACAAGTATAATGTAAGTATTATGCATTTGTTGCCTATGTATTATAAGGCACAATTTGGTCCTCCTAATTATTCTGTGAACAAGGGCTAATGTAAACAGCACTCTTCTCTTGGCCAGTCACCATTTTGAAATAATTGCCTCAATTGGACAATCAATACTCAGCTAGCTAACAGATGGTACTACCATCTCTCTCCTTCTCAATTCTTACATCTGGTTTAATTAAATGACAACTCATTGAAATAGGGCAAAGAGAATGAGATGCAGTCATTTAACAAGATACAATCATGTTAGAAAACCTGTAATTCTGGGTAATTTTTAAGTAAATATATTGCCCAATATTGAAGCTTTCTCAGAATTTCTTCACTGTGGCATCCAAGATTTATCTCTAAGATTTAAGAGAAGACAGTTGTAGCTTCTTATGATTTTACCACAGAGAACTCTACAGCAAAGGTACATGTTCTTTACCAAATCCCTAGGAGAGCTACCAATCATGACCAGGCACAGAAGACACACACATTGAAAATTAAAGAGTCCTGATCCGAAAGCTTGCTTTGAAGACCAGAAATGAATGGAGCTCATAGAATTTCCACACTAAAATCCAATATTGGTTGCTTCATAGTGATGTTACTTTGAGTGGGGGTATTATTTTATTGCTTCTAGGTACTATTACATCAGAATTATTACTTTATAGATTTCCTACTCTCAGAATCGATCAGCCAGTATGAGCATGCTAGCTGGACAATTCTAGGAGTTATTCTCCTAAAAAAGTACCATAACTGGGAACGAAAAATTCAAATTTTTATACTTCAAAATCACTTGAGCAGCTTTTCTGTCCCTTGGCTTACAGCATATTAATACCTTGTTTTACTTAATATGAACAGAGTAAGGAGAGGGATTATTTTCACTAGTGTGCCATGATTTCAGGAACAGCAGGTGTTCGCATAACTAGCTGTAGCTAATTGCAACTAACTGACAATGTACCAGGGTGCATCTTGGTCACATGCCTACTCATGCATCTGACTACACAGCTGAGATATACCCTAGCATCTTATCAATTTGTTATAACTCCCCACCAAAACTTCAACAAATTTTATGCAATCACCAATAGGATTCTGACCAGCATTTTAGAATACCAGGCTACAGCAGCTTATTAATATTTTACCGAGGCCACTGTTTCTCCTTGTCTGTCAGAGGAACATAGATCACCCCCATCAGATTCTTTTCCACAATTTGACCATCTTTTGTTTTGTCGTATTGCATCATAACTTGGTTTCCACCCTCTGGCCCTACTGGCAAGATCAATCGTCCTCCTGGTTTCAACTCATTCAGCAACTGGTAAAAGAAAATAATTGAAATTTAAAAAGACAAATAAAAGGCCCAACAAACTGCAAAAATTCATAATTTCCATTTACATAAAAAACCCCTCAAATCAATTATTCCCTCATAATCAGTAGATTTGCTGTTTATTGCTCTACACAAGGCTTTGAAGAGTTCTCTAAAAAGTGCCAATGGTGAAGCATTGTCTTGTATTGATGGAACACACAAACTCAAAATTTCATTAGAAAGGCAAAATAGGTGTATTTCTTTTTTACCTCCTTTGGCACTGTGGGCGCAGCTGCTCCAACATGGATGGCATCATAAGGGGCTTCTTCTGGGTACCCCTTCCTGCCATCCCCAACTGTGGAGAGAGAATGTGCAGTGAAGGTTCTTGTTCAGATGGCAGCTTCTGTTAAATAATTCTCCTTTGTCTCTGCCTCTCCTTTCACTTGAAACCTACATGCACGAGAGACTTGTATGCAGATTATATCAGCACTGGGGCACCACGACAAAGTATGGAAACCATAAGGAGAAAAATTGCTCCTTGATATTATTTTTCAAGCTAAATGGAAATGAGAAACAGACAACTACCAAAATCTGGTTGCATAACATAAGCAAAGCTTTAAGATTTAGTCCATTTTAAAGAGCCCCTGCTGCAATTCTCAGGGGCCTCTGCATACACTAGCTTGGTGCATGCACATACTCGCAAGAATCACAATGGGGGCTCTTTATTTACCAGTGAGAAACAAACCAAAATTTATGATTTTGCTTATACAACCCAAAAGGATTTAATCCAAAATGTAAAATGAAACAAGAACTAAATAGACTTTAGCTATCTGATAGCCATTATACAAGCATACTTCTGCAGCAGAATCTTATACATGTTTACTTTTAAGTAAGTGCCACTGTGCTCACTGAAGTTATTCCTTAATATCCATGCAGCTCTCTCATTCCAGCTTTAAAGCTGCATTCCTAATCAGTTACTTGGGAAAAATGTCCACTGATATCAATCAGAATTACTTCCAAGAAAATAGCCAGGAATATGCTTTCTTGGATTTAAAAAGGTTATTCATTTTTCTGTAGACTTACAATCAGAGACTATTTTCAAATTCATACATTTCCAAGAATATCCAATTTTGCTGGAACTTACCATTAAATAGGTTTAGAATCCCAATTTGATTGCATCATTTCTTTATTTATTCATACCAGAGCATTCCACAATTTAAAATTATGTACATGTATGTTAAGGTACAATAAAAACAAGTAGTGGGATTAGAATAAAAATACCTATTGTTTCTGACATAAGAAGTAGAGATGGGCATGAATCAGAAAAATGGTGATTAGGTTTGATTAGTCAAAGTCAACGAATCATGAATTATGATCTTTTTCTGATGAACCGATTTGACAATTTGTGTTTTTTAACTTTAAAACCCTATAAAACCCCCACTCCTAGCACCTAGAGACAGGCAAGGTTCCCCTGACTCTCTTCTACAATCCCTGCAACTTTGATGAGGTTTGGATTTCAGATGTCTGTGTTATACACCCATGAACAGGGCGCCACCAGGAAAATTCCCCGGAGGCACCTAGAGCTGCCACAATCACAGGGAAGTTTCTATTGACTCTCTTCTATGATCCCTGCAAATTTGGTGAAGGCTGGCTTTCAGACATCCAATCTTCACCCACAAAGTGGGTTCCCGCAGGAAAGTATCGTACCCTTTAGCAGCTGGTTTGGGAAAACCTAATCTTCACCAAACTTGAAGGGATTGTAAAGAAGGGTCAGGGGAAGCTCCCCTCCAATGTTGGTGTCTCTAGGTGCCCTGGGAGCCATTTTATAGCCAAATGAATAAAACATTGCTAAAAATTAGTTGATTTGTGATTTGTCAGAGGCACTGATTTGTATGCATACGAACTGACAAATTAGTGATGAATGTGATTGATGTTTTTTCTAATTCATCCCCATCTCTAATAAAAGTTTCAAGTTGCACAACAATGAATATGACATATTTAAATCCACAGATGGCTTTAGGTGTGGGTGAGGGTTCATATTAGGAGGCAATATTCACACACAGAGACACACAAGAAAGAAAGAAAGAAAGAAAGAAAGAAAGAAAGAAAGAAAGAAAGAAAGAAAGAAAGAAAGAAAGAAAGAAAGAAAGAAAGAAAGAAAGAAAGAAAGACCAGTCTCGGTCCAGTTCGTTGTAAAAAGTGTTTGATCATAAAATGTTGAAGAAGCAACAATGAGGAAATATATGGCTATAACTAATTTTACACCAGGATATATCCAGTGTGGTATAATGGATAGTGCAACGGACTAGGATTAAGGAGACCTCAATCTTGCAATCTCCACTCATAAAACCTTACAGGGGGAGTGGAACTGGTACAACTGTTCTCTAAATAACTCACTTACCTTCAAAGCCCAATTAAGGTTGCTATGAGTCTGTTCTGATTTAACAGCATATAATACAATTTATTTCTTCATGTATATTTAGAAAACAACTGAGGTTTAGCACTATATGTCTAGATTTACTGTATATGATGCCTTGTGTACACACAATCCCACTTCCTCAGGTATACATAGTTCAATTTTCATGTAACAGACTGACATAGCAGTGTCTCTCAAAATCACTGAAAATGTACTTTAGTACTACTGCTAGAAAACTGCCGCCTTGCTGACCAAAGTTTTCACAAGTGACCAAGGCTTCTGGATAACTGGCACAAAGATGCACATCAAGGCTACAAACCAGAGTGCTCACCTAGAAGTTTTACTCGACCAGAGCTAAGCAAAGTTGGGTCATCTTCTCTGACGTTCCTAATAGATTCATGAACCAGCTCTTCAATGTGTTCGATGCCGACTGCCTTGCCTGTCAGGCCCACCTGTAAGAAGAATCACATTCACATCAAGATCGCTTATTACAAAAAATGAATTTATTTACCAAACAGAGTTTCCCTTTGGAGAATTATTTTTAAAATTTGGATAATTGTTTACATATTGTAGGTGGGTTCGAGCACTACTGTCAGTGGGACTCAGAAGCAGCAATTGTTGTTCAACAATACTGCAGACCCAGCATAAATTCGGATAATTGTTTACATATTGTAGGTGAGTTCGAGCACTACTGTCAGTGGGACTCAGAAGTAGCAATTGTTGTTCAACAATACTGCAGACCCAGCATAATCTCAAAATCTGCCCAGCAGACTGAAAAACCATGCAAAGCAGCTGTTCACCTGCTACTGCAATGTTAAAATTTAGGTGAATTACATCTACAGTCTATTTTAGAAAGTATGAAGGATAGGTCTAGTTAATGTACAGTCTCTGTAAGAATTCTCTATAAGAACTCTCTATAAGAATTCTGCATGAATGTGAAAAATTTTAAGTGGCCAACTCCAGAAGAATTATTATTTTACAGGGCAACCTTAAATATGTTTAATAATAATAATCATGTGCACTCTAGTCAATTCTGATTTATGGCAACCTTTTCCAGGATTTTCCAGGTAAAGAATACTCAGAAGTTGGTTGTTGAAGGTTTTTCGGCCTGTTAGGTCAGAAGTTGGTTAGGTTTTTCGGCCTGTTAGGTCATGTTCTGAAGGTTGTTCTTCCTATCGTTTCACCAGTCTCTGAGGCCAGCATCTTCAGAGGATAGGTGTCAGAGCTCTGTGCTCTGGTGCAGTTTTGTGGGTATTTATTGAGTTGAGTATTTATAGATGTGGGAACAGCTTTTGTCCTGTTCAGAAGATTGGGTGATTATGGTGATCAGTGTGTTTTTTGTTGTAAGTGTATTGTTGTGATAAGGGGGAGAGATGATCTGTCACTGTGATTGATGAAGCTTTTTGTTGAAGCTGTGCTGGTGTTTGTGGATTTTTTGTTGAAGCTCAGCTGGTGTTTGTGGATTTCAATGACTTGATTGCTGGTGTCGTCCAGTACATCTGTGTTTTGAAATAGAATTTTATGTCCAGTTTGTTTCAGGGCATGTTCAGCTACTGCCGACTGCTGATTTTCCCAGTTGTTTTAGTCTGCAGTGTCTCTCATGTTCTTTGATTCTGATATGGATGCTGCGTTTTCTGGTTCCAATATATACCTGGGCACAACTGCAAGGTATCTGGTATACTCCTGCAGTGGTGAGGGGGTCCCTTTTGTCCTTTGTTATGGTTCCAGTATATACCTGTCCACAACTGCAAGGTATCCGGTATACTCCTGCAGTGATGACGGGGTGCCAGTTGTCCTTTCCTGACTGTAACATTTCTTGTATTTTTGTAGTGGGCCTGAATACTGTTTGTAGGTTGTGTTTTTTCAAAAGTTTCCCCATGCGGTCCGCGCCCCCTTTGATGTATGGCAGAAATACTGTACTTTATTTGTGGGTGGCTATTTTTCCTATTTTTTGTCATGGGTGGTGGTTGGAGTTTTTGTGTAGGTACCTTTCTTAGATGTCATGGTCATAGGCAAACCTGATCTATTGGGACACAAGGTCTACAAAAACCCCACCCACACAGACCGGTACCTACACAAAAACTCCAACCACCACCCATGACAAAAAATAGGAAAAATAGCCACCCACAAATAAAGTACAGTATTTCTGCCATACATCAAAGGGGGCGCGGACCGCATGGGGAAACTTTTGAAAAAACACAACCTACAAACAGTATTCAGGCCCACTACAAAAATACAAGAAATGTTACAGTCAGGAAAGGACAACTGGCACCCCGTCATCACTGCAGGAGTATACCGGATACCTTGCAGTTGTGGACAGGTATATACTGGAACCATAAAACACAGCATCACACCAGAAAAGAACACGAGAAACTGTAGACTAAAAGAACGGGAAAAATCAGCAGTAGCTGAACATGCCCTGAAACAAGCTGGACATGAAATTCTATTTCAAAATACTGAAGTACTGGACAACACCAGCAATCATTATGTTAGATGGCACAGAGAAACCATTGAAATCCAAAAGAAGAAATTCTAAAACTCAACAAAGCCGGGCTCCCAGCACTGAAAAATACAGCTGCAAACGTCAACGAACACTCCCCAGCCACAAGGACTGGTGATCACTGCACACAAAAGATCAGCTAATGACACCCATCAATCACTGTGACAGATCATCTCTCCCCCCTATCACAACAATACACTTACAACAAAAAACGCGCTGATCACCATAATCACCCAATCTCCTGAAAAGGACAAAAGCTGACCCCACAGCTATAAATACTCAACTATCCAACAAACTGCACCAGAGCACAGACAGAGTTCTGACTCCGGTCCTCTGAAGATGTCGGCCACAGAGACTGGCGAAACGTTAGGAAGAACCACCTTTAGAACATGACCAAACAGCCATTAAAACCTATAGCAACCATTGGATCCCGGCCATGAAAGCCTTCGAGAATACAATACTCAGAAGTGTTTTATCACTGAAAAGTAAATTTTTTTTGCCAGAATAGTGGATTGTAGTCTTGTTTGCTCTGCAAGGAAATTATACTTGGTAAGCTGCTGCTGGTAGACTAGTCTCAAAATGTATTAGACAGGAGGCTAATTTGGTTTTTGAAGCTTACAGTTCAGTTTTTAAAAGTCTTTGGCTGAAACAAGAAAAATGGTATCATCTGCAGTGGCAAATTACTACTGATTAAAGGTTTCCTGTGGTGATTTCAGGGTGCAATATTGTCACATTGAGTATAAGTTGCATGAATTCTGACATTGCCAAATATGCCACAAACAGCAATATGCCATTGCTGCTGACAGCATTTGTGTTACTAACACACAGCTGCACAACAAAAATTCAGCCAGCATTTAAAACTGAAATCGATTTTTATCACTAAAGTTTAATGGATCCACTTCTATTTTACTCTAATTTAACATCTCATAACAATTATATCCTTTTTGCACAGAAAAAGCACCCAACAAATTAGATGGTGTTCTCACAAAAAAGCCTCATATAAACATGTCTTGCTAACTCCTTGCAAATATTATTTCTTCCCTCAACAGATTCCTAAGATACCAATGCTGTGCTCTGCTTACCATCCTTGCAAAACAAGCTGTGAGATATCCACTTCCTGATCCAACATCCAGCGCTTTTGCTCCTTCTACTAGCTGATCCTTCAGTAACTCAAGAGCGTAAGCATGCTGTGAAAAACATAAGAAACTGGAAACATCCGATAAAACCCAATACTCCTCTTGCCCAATGGTGTCAAACGTGGTAAATTCTACATAAACCTTAGAGCTGCCAATTCCTCACCTGTGCTCCAGTATATACAACTATATGTTCTCACATTTATTCTAGGAGTAAAAGCAGATGAACACACAAAGCTTAATTTCACAATAGGCATAAGTTTAGATAAAAGTGTGAGAAACAGCTTTGCTCAGCAGATGTTGAAGATGAGCATAAAGAGTAAATTAGATGTGCTTCTAAGTCAGTCATTAACTGAGCAGTAGTGGACATGTTTTTCATATGTATTGCTTCACAGTCAGTTCTCTACCACCTTCATTTCTAAGTATCTTAGGTGGCACTAGCCTAGACAAAGCAGCAATGTTACTCAGTATTAGACAACTTCATACATTTTTTGGCCTTCTTTCAATGGAAAAATGCATCAGATACTGTTTTATAGATGTAGAAGTATGTCTTACCATGTGAGGTGCACTGATTGTAGCCTTGTAACCTGGAAGAAAGCCACTGATCAGTTATTGCAGTTTTTTTCCCATTCAGAACTACTGTACGAGCACCTCTACAGCTAATAGTTTTATTATCACAAATCCCTTGTAACCTCATGTTCTCAGATGAAAACTTAAGAGTTTCTGCTTTCAGTCTGCCATACAGTCTGAAAAATATGTTGGTTCATCTTGGCTTTTGTAGCAAGGACACATACTTGAGATCCCAAGAGAATAAAGTTATCTCCAAATGACAATATTCTATGATATTTCTTACCGATTGATTGAGGAGAGTCCATATATGGAAAATACTTAATATAGTGGGCTCTGTCTGTAGCCAACAGTACATCAAAAACACGCTGAGACGTAAACACACCATTTTCTACAGAAACAATGAACAAAATAACAAACAATAGTTATATAACTTTACATTTGTTTTCATATGGAAGACAGCTTATGTATAAAATTTAACAAAAACACATTCAGGTCAATAGTTGGACTGATTATAAATAACAAAAATACAGTAATTACTCTTCATAGCCTTGTGTAAAATTAAACATTTATTAGCTTTGTTCAAGGAAGGAATCATTTAGCAACTGTATACCAATATTCTGAAATATTGCATTTTACATGACTCACTATTATTTCTTCTTCATGTCATAACACAAAAACCTGAAGTCATCTAATGAAGAATAATCACAGACAAAAAGATGCATATCTTCACATGGCAATTTTCAAACCATGAAAAACTGTTGCCACAAAGTGCAATGATAATCACCGTTCTTGAACAGTTTAGGAATAAGTTAGACAAATTAATGGAGAACAAGGCTATCAGTCACTGCTAGACTGGATGGTTATGGATTACTTCCATTAACAAAGGCCATACTCTTGTGAATACCAGTTGCTGCAGAAAATGTGTTCATGTCCTTGCTGAGGGGTTTCCTATAGGTTATTTACCGTTTCACTGGGAATAGAATGCTAGAGTATACAGGCCTTTGGCCCGATTCCATAGTTGCTCTAATGTTCTTAAGAGCTAAAAAGAAGTTGTTTGGAGATACATTGCAAAATAATTCTCCTCCTGCTCCAAACTTTGCAATACACTGTTCTGTCATTTCCTTTGCTATGACTTAAAATAAATTTTTTAAAGAGGCAAATTATCAATTATGCACAGTATCACAGTTATTTCAGTAGATACTTTAAATACTGGCTGCTGTTTTCACTCACTGTAAAGGTTGTTGATCATTTCAGCATGGGTCTTCCCAGATGAAATCCAAGCCATGGTTCTTGTGAGCAGAAGTCCCATCAGCAAGGTAGCAAAAGACAACCTACAGCTCATCACACAAAAATGTTCAGGGGATTCCCAAGCCTGTGCAGCCAGTCATGATTCAGCAAAGAGAAAAAGATGCTCTCAGGCAAGCTCAAGTAACGTCCAACAGAAACCAAATCCTTCCTATGCAGAAGCAGCCAAGTTTAAGAATAGATGCACAGATGCAAAAAAAGAAACCAAGGAAAAGGTACATTGCCAAAGTAAAATATGAATAGACCATTTCATATTTATTAAGCTACAATTTATCAATTTATCCTATTTAATGTTAGCATCGTAACTGACCAGATAGGCGGGATATAAATAAGATAAATAAATAAAATGTACAGGTATCATTTTTGCATAAGTACAGTTGCAATACTGTATAACTGCCTTTGCAAGAGGCAGTTGTTGAAGACTATACAGAAACAGTAAGTAGTCCAGAAACATTAATATTAACCCAATCCTAGCTGACCATCTTCTGCCCCCCTCCATCTACTCTGGTTCTGTAAGATTACTGTGTGCCATCTGTTTTTAGGGTTATTGTTGTTGGTTTTAATGTTTTTATCTCTATTTTTGTTCACTATTATATTGGTTGTAATTGCCCACTGTAGTGCCTCAGCACTAATGGGAGCGGGATACAAACTGAATGAATAAACAACACATATTGGGTGAAGAAATCATGCCTCGCCTGGCACTGGGGAAAAAAAGCCTTACTGGCTCCTGGTAAGTTTTGAAGCTTCGTTTAAAAAAGCACTGGTCCCATCATTTAAACCCATACCCATCTTAAAGCACAAATATTTCTTTCACACCAACTTGCACAATTAGTTAATAATTTGAAGCCATTCTTTGTACTCCTACTATTTGAAATATACAGCTACTGACTTCCTTTGCCAACATCTTATTGGTGATCTATGTATACATGAGTGTAATCAAACTGCCACTAATTTATGCACATGTAAGCAAACTGTTGCTAATTATTGAGGTGCTGGTTGTGCACTAATGGTCATGCATCCAGCAACACAATTAGTATCTTGTAAATTACTGACAATTTACCAGAGCAGTTTATGCAATTTCAGTTGTGCAATGTGCCCAATTACTAAGAGGATTCTGGCCCTTGTCTTTAGAACACCCTCCCCAGAGAATCTCATCTGGCATTTAAGTATCGACTTCAATATTTGCAACCATTTAAATTGAGAACTGTCTATCTGAATGTACTGTTTTAGTTTGTTTATGTGCTTAATTTTATCATTTTCTATTTTCTGTTGTGCCATTGTCCTGACTGCTTTTATTAGCTGTCCTTACAAAATAAATTCATGCTGAAGACGTGGGACAGAAATTATCCAGGTACATCTGTAAGTAAACAACATGTACAGTTCTCCTTTCCACAAAACATCCAGAATGACTAATATCTCTACAAAATAATAATGCAATAATTAATACAATCAGAAAAGAGTTTATTTCTTGTCATTGCACTAATGGAAACATGGCCAAACAAAGAGATACAATTGACAGGACAGGTTACTAATCCAGGAAGCTGAGAGATGAGGACAGATGGATAACAAGTACTTTGCCAGAAAGATGGACACTCATTTCAGCTTCACTCCAAGAGTCCACACAAACAACGGGGAAGCATATAAACACCGGGGGGGGGGGAAGCCCTCTTCCAAACTTGTCGCAAGGTCGGTGGGAAAATGAACATAGTTCTCGTGGCAGATTGGATCCCACCGAGTGTTATTGTTTTTTAAATTTTTGTTTATAGCAAATCTGCCACAGCCTTCTACTGCTCACTCCCCTCCCAGGGCAGTCCACAGCCGTTAGCACCAATAATTAGAAATACTACAACATTCAGCAACAGCGAAGCTGATAAAATACGACAGGATGGCACCCACTTTCGCAGATTACACCCCATCAGATATGGGCTATGTGTTAAGCGAGGAACCTGATTTGGAGGAAGGGATGGTTTGTGCTGTTATTAATTACTCCGCCCCGGGATCCTTTAGTCCGTAGCTATCGGAGATCCCCCTTCCTCCTCCTCAGGCAAGCGAGGGCCCGAGCGGGGAACACAGGCAGGCGATTCCCAAGGGATCGAGGCTCACGCCCTCCTGCCACCAGGCGGGAAACAAAAAAGGAAGCGAAAGGCACGAACGACGGGACCCGGTGGGCCGAGAAGGGAGACTCGGGCCTCGGCAGCCCCTGACGGCCGGCCTCCCTAAGCAAACTCCCGCCAGCCGAGGGAGAGGCCGCCCGGGCGGACTTACGGAGCTGCGCCGAGCCCTCCTGAGCTCACATCGCCGGACTCCCCCGCGGCGGCCCCTCCTCTTCTTCCACGGGGTCCCCCATTTGGTTTGTGGTTTGAAAGCAAAGGCGGCGGCGGCGGCGGAGGGGCGGGGCGCCTGGGAGGACGAAAAGGGGGCGTTTCTTAGGTTGTTACGTAAAATGGAGGAAACGCAGACCAGCAGCTTCCGCCCGGCTTCAACATGTCGCGTTTCGGGACACGAAAGCCGCCTCAGCGGTGCGCTCTCTCTCCCCCCCTCCCGCGCGCTCCCTTGTTAGAACCCAAACAAAACTATTTAACCCCTTCTGGCCGGGCGTTTCCACCTTAGGGAACAACGGGGGGTGGAACAGCGCCGGTGTCAAAACGTCCCTCAAGCGGCCTTAGAGGCTCCCTAGTTTAAACACTCCCTTTGCAGTGTTTTCAAATAGTCCCAGCTTTCTTTCTTTCTCACTGGATAAAGTCGATGATAAAGCATCGGACTTTGTTGTCGTTTTGTTCCGCTCCGAGCTCTATCACGCTTTATTTTACTTTCGATGACATTCTTTGTTCTAGCAAGCGGGCCCCGCATATGGATGACTGTAACCAGAACCGGTTGAGAACCGGAAATGCTGTCAAAAGTAGCGCCTTCTTGTTCCACCGCCCCGACGGGTGGTGATTGACGTGTCCATCCTGCCCGTAGGACCAGGAGGCGGTGCCGTGGCTGCCGTTCCGTTCGCGGATTGGTTAGTTCAGGGAAGGGGTGGGTAGCGAGCCTCGGCTGGCACACCCCCGAGGAGCCGGCTGCGGGGTCGTTGTCCCTTTGTTGACTCTTAAAGAGGAAGGAGGGGGGAGACGGAGCGGTGGCTGTTCCAGGTAGGGAGCAAGGCGGCCCGGGACCCCGAGCTGGGCAGGTGGTGGATGGAGACCACGGCGCCAAACAGGGAGGGGAACAGAAGGGACCCTTCGGAAATTCCGCAGGATTTCATGCCTTCCTTATAGGCCTTCCTCTTCCTCCCCGTATCTTGGTGGTTTAATGCAAAGTGACTCTCTCGAAGGTTGCGCAGGTAGAAATGCTGCCACTTCGTAAGCCTGCAAGAAATATACTTGACTTGGGGGGGGGGAGAGAACGTTTGTCCTGTTGTTATTCAGTTACGGCAACACAAGTCTGTGGCTATATTGCCTTTTAGTTTTCTCTATTCTCATTATTATTGGATTACGGAGTACAGTTCCCATTATCCACGGACAGTATGGCCGCTCCTACATAGCCAGAGCCTGCCTGATTAGGGATGGCTACTTTGTGCTCTATAATGATGTTGTGCTGTTTTTTGTCTCTAAGCGGCAACGACATCCTTCCTATATCATTGCGGTCGAGGGTTGCCCCCAAGAGAGCTTGCAGAGGATTGTAGCCATCCCGAGATGTAGGTCTCTGGGAGTGCCTTCCTCGGGCAGCCACTTGTGAGCGCTTGCTCTCTTGACTGGTTAGATGTCATCAGAAAATAAGAGACACCCACCAACCCACCTATGTACAAAATGTAACGAAAACATTTACATCTGCAAAATGACCTGCTGCATAACTTTTTGAGATAGATTCCTTGAAATCCTGAAACATTTTTTACATTTAAGTTTGTCTTCCCAGCACACAGAAGGATAACTATAAAAAATGACAACTCTACTATTAACACTTGTCAGAAACTTTCAGAAGTTACAAATTGTATTACACTGGTGCCTCGACTTACGACTGTCCTGACATGTGACCAAATTGAGTTACAACCAGCTCTGGTCGCAAAATTTTGGTTTGACTTGCAACCGAAGCTTTGCGATATGATCACAAAAAAAGGTGGGGAAAAAGGTGGGGAACTGCTTTTTTGTAGCTCCTTCACCCCAGTGGTTAGAGTGTGTGCTTTCTGAGAGAGGCTGACTGCCTGGTACCGGGGAACTGCTAACCATTAGTCGGTAAGGAGGCTGCTTTTTTGTAGCTCCTTCACCCCAGCGGTTAGAGTGTGCGCTTTCTGAGAGAGGCTGACTGCCTGGTACTGCTGGAATGGGTTTGTTTGATTCGGGGGTGGGGGTGGGTGGCTGGTTGGTTATGTTTCTGTGCTTTGATGGGTCTTGCAGTGTAGCATTTTTAGTCCCTGCTGGAATGGGGTTTTAAGTGGCCTGGATCCATTCCAGTCGGGCTTCAGAGTTGGTAAGGAAACAGCATTGGTCGCCCTGTTGGATGACCTACTCAGGGAGGCTGACAGAGGCAAAATGTCTTTGTTGGTCCTCCTCGATGTCTCAACCGCCTTTGATACCGTTGACCACGGTATCCTCCTGGGGAGGCTCTCTGAGTTGGGAATTGATGGTCTGGTGCTTGCCTGGCTCTAATCCTTCTTGGAGGACCGTCCCCAGAGAGTACAGCTTGGGGAGAGTATTTGAGCCTCAATTGTAGGGTTCCTCAGGGCTCGATTATCTCCCCAATGCTGTTTAATATCTACATGAGGCCACTGGGTAGGGTCATTGGGGGGGTGGGGCTTCATGCCATCATTATGCTGATGACACCCAGCTCTACATCTCCTTTTTTCCAACCACAGTGGATGCCATTCTGTCCCTTCAGTGCTGCCTGGAGGCTGTACTGCAATGGATGCAGGAGAATGGGCTGAGGCTGAACCCGGACAAGACAGAGGTCCTGAGGGTGGGTGGCCCCTCCGTTGGTGGTTTAAGAAACTCCCTCTCTTTTGCGGGAGTGACTCTCACTGCGAAGAGTGAAGTTCGCAGCTTGGGGGTCCATCTGGGTCCAGCGCTCACCACGGAAACCCAGGTGGCATCAGTGGTCCACGCCACCTATTTCCATCTGCGGCGGATTGCCCAGCTGCGTCCGTATCTTGATGCTGGGGCACTCACCACTTTGGTCCATGTGCTTGTAATCTCAAGATTAGACTACTGCTCAACGTTGGGGCTACCTTTGAGATTGATGCGGAAGCTTCAAATGGTGCAGAATGCAGCGGCCAGACTTCTCAGTGGGACGAGAAAATATCAGCATATTTCCTCCACTCTGGCTGCCTTGCATTGGCTGCCCGTTCATTTCCGCATTGATTTCAAAGTGTTAATGATGACATATAAAGCCTTAAACGGTTTAGGACCTTGATATCTAGCAGAACGCCTCCTCCCACCTAGATCTACTCGAATCACTCATTCTAGCCAGGAAGGGCAGCTGAGGGGCCTAACGCTGAGGCCCAGAGACAAAGTACAAGAAGCTGGACCTTGTTGGCAGTGGCTTTGGAACAGTCTCCCTTCAGAGATCTGTCTGGCTCCCTCACTGGGTGTTTTTAAGAGCCAACTTAAAACCTGGCTCTTTAGGCAGGCTTTCCCTCCTGTCCTCACTTGATTATTTTTATCTTTTCGCCATCTTGAACAATATTGTTGTTGTTGTTTTCTATTTTATTATATTGCTTTTATGCAATTTTTTATTGTTAGCTACCCAGAGTAGACTTGGGTCTAAATGGGTGGGGTATAAATTTAATAAATAAATACATTTTTGTTTGTTTGTTTTAGACTCCAAACTCCCCCCTCCCAATTGTCTTCTCTCTCTCTCTCTATCCTCTCTTTGTGCCTAAAAGCACAAACCTTTGTCTGAGGGGTCTGTGTATCCCAGTGATGACCTTCTTTCTTTACTCATTTCCCCATTGTTCCCTCCCTCCTTCCCTTTCCTTTTTTTAACCTTTGAAAACAGCCGGAACGGATTAATCGTGTTTCAGTGTGTTCCTATGGGAAATGGTGCTTTGAGTTACAACCATCATCCTGGAACGAATGAAGTTCGCAACTCAAGGCACCACTGTATTCTAACTAAGTATACAATGTTCCCTTGAGTTGCAAATTTAATTCGTTCCGGGATGATGGTTGTAACCTAAGTTACAACCATTCTGTATGTTAAACCATTCAAACACCCTAACACAACTTGTAACTGTTTGGAGCCATCCTTGGAGGTAACATGTTAGAACAGATGTAGGGAGGTATAGCTGTATTTTCCAGTATTGAAACTGTCCATTGCACACAGTGGTGAAGACATGTATTCTTTCTGCTATACTCAGTGGTTATGATTTCTCATTGGCTGTTCTGACCATCTACTATTCACAGTATCCTTGTGTATTGGTTTTTTTTTAAATGCATTTTTCAAGAAATTGGAATGGATTTTTTTAAAAAAATGTGCACTCTGATCTTCAAAGAACTCAGTGTAGCTTACCAATGATTCTAAAGTAGTTTCATTGAGGACCACATCCAGACCTCTTTAGTAAGTGAAAAGTCTGCTTACCAATAATTCTAAAGTACAGTAGTTTCATTGAGGACCGCATCCAGACCTCTTTAGTAAGTGAAAAGTCAATCCTGTCCCCAATTATCTGGGAGAAAGTGTCACTAAGTACTGTGGGACTTATTTCTAAATAGATGATCAGGGTTGCATTGGAAAGATACTTTAAGCCCTAACATAGCACTTGAAGACATGATAGTTTAAGATTATAAAAAGTATATAGCTCCAGAAGGGTTTTTTTTAAATGAACTGTGGATTAGAGTCCTTAATAATGAATGTAAAATTCTACTGGGGGAGCTCTTTGCAGTGAGTGTAGTCATTTTATATCATGCCCATTTCTTTTGGAACTCCTTGTTGTTACATAAATTTTATGTCTTTTGATAACAGAAAGATTAATGCCATAATGTATTCTCATAAGCTTTATGATCTTTAAAATGGTCATAACAAAGGCTTTGCTTCCATCTCTGTAGGTTTGATTCTTGTTTTATTCTGAATTAATCTCAATTGTTATCACTAATAATCTGCTTTTATGAGGCATAATCCTATAGCAGAGCTCATGTGTACAACCATAATGTTCTGTCAGTGCTTTTGTTTTACACAAATGCAGGCATCTTAATAAAAATACATCCTGACTGCACAATAGTTAGTAACACTTTTGTAAAGTTCTTTGTAGACAGAGTTTATCCAGTTTGTTTTGGAAAGTATAGAAGATTTGTGAAAAACATGATATATGGTATAAAAATCCTTGTGAGCTGTTCTGCTGTATATCATTTCAGAATGGTGACAATCTACGAGCTCCCAGTTGTCTCAAAACAAAATAGTTTTTGGATTTCAAACACGTTTCCTTATGTTTAAGTTTGAGAGTTTTTTTGTACAGGTTGTACCTGCTGCTCTGCCATCTCATCTCATGTATGTTTATGAGGAAACAGGAATGTGATGTATAATATTTGCAAAATGTAGGACCCAGACAGATTTTCTAGAAGAAAAGGAAGTGATTAAAGTAGTAACTCAGGTACCATGTCCAGTCTGCTAAGCAGTGAGTTGCACCTGCATAGCAATGTGGAATTACATGGACTTCACAGCCATTGTCATTGTGAAAATGGAGGGTGGGATTTCTGCATGAAGGTCAGTGCTTCTGCAATGGTGGTGCTTGTGCTAATATAGAAACCCTGTTTTATTCTCCTGGTGGGCCTCTGTACTCAGCAGAACCCAGTAAGATACTGGCCCAGTGGCTCACATGCTGGGATATTTGCAGGTGCCTAACAACCACTTGAGAAGCTTTAACAGCATTGAGCACTACAAACTGAGAAGTAAAAAGCACAGAGAACTAAAAATTCTTAGACTTCTAATCTTTGGAAACTAAAAGAGGGAAGAAATATGTAAACATGTGGACTGTATTTATAAGCAACACATACTGTAATACATATCTTTCAGGATTTCCCCATCATGATCATGTTTGAAAGTGTGGACTCCCTAGTCACGATTTCCAGCCACGACCTGTGGGCTGAAATCTGTTCTTCGCTGCCGTATCCAGACCAGAACGGAGAATCAAGCAATGCCTTTGCAGATTCCTTCACTGATTGTTATGTTCCAAACGACGTCATGGACACCACTTTCCAAGCTGCGGACCTGAAGCCCTGGGCACCACTGAAGGATTCTGAGGTCTATTTGGCTTCTTTAGGTAAGTATATGGGGAGTTTTAGTTCTGTCGTGTTGCAGTCAGTGTTCTCGCTGGCATGGGCAACTTTGGCACGTCTTCAGGCTAAATTTTCATACCCAGCACCTGCCATGAGCTGAGGTGGGGAGGGGAGTAGGAATCAAAGCTAAAATTTGCCTGTTGTTTGGCTTGGCACTGGTTTTCTGGGGGCTCCCACAAACCAGTTTAAAAGAATAATCATTGCAATTGGAAATCTCCTGGAACAGGAAGAAGGTTTACTGTCTGTCAAGGGGTCTGTGGAGGTCGCACAAATCACCTTGAGAGCCATCTATGGGTCATGGGCTGCGGTTTGTCCTCCCAGTTCTAACATCTGAACAGACACTGTGGGCAACAATGATTATATACTGACATCTATTATTCTAGTGAAAGTGATTCTAGCTATATGTATTTGATCACTATGGACATCATATTATGATTTTTTTTAAAAAAAAAAAACAAGACTCTACCATAAAACCCATTTTCTCCAAAGTTAAGGTAAAGGTACTGTAAATGTTCCCCGTGACAATATTTGTCCAGTCGTGTTCGACTCTAGGGGGCGGTGCTCATCCCCTCCCCGTTTACTGTCTGTCAAGGGGTCTGTGGAGGTCGCACAAATCACCTTGAGAGCCATCTATGGGTCATGGGCTGCGGTTTGTCCTCCCAGTTCTAGCATCTGAACAGACACTGTGGGCAACAATGATTACATACTGACATCTATTATTGTAGTGAAAGTGATTCTAAGTATATGTATTTGATCACTATGGACATCATATTGTGAAAAAAAATTAAAAAAACCAAGATTCTACTATAAAACCCATTTTCTCCAAAGTTAGTTCTGGTAAAATAAATAGGTTTGTTCCACAAGTAAGTGGACATGGTTTAAGAAACCTTTTCTTTGAGTACTGATACTCTCCATGAATTATTAATCTCAGTCTGCTACGTGTTTTTAGATATTTTTGAGATTTTTAAAAAAGCTCATAATTTATTTTAAATATAATAAAATTTGTGTGCTGTCAAGTCAATTCCAACTTATGGTGACCCCCTCCCAGGTTTTCTAGGCAGAGAATACTCAGAGGTGGTTTACCCTTCTCTTCTTCTGGCACTATGGATCTTGCTCAAAGCCACACAAGGCTGGCTCTACTCACAGGAGGCAAAATGGAGAACCCAAGGCTTCCTGAGAATACAATTTGAATGGTAACGGCTGTGTATGATGATCATTGCAAATGTTCTTATATAAACACACTTCCACATTCTAAAAAAGAAAGAGGTGACCTCTCCCATCTCAGTCTGCTCCATGTTTTTAGATATTTTTGAGATTTCAAAAAAAAGCTCATAATTTATTTTAAATACAATAAAATTTGTGTGCTGTCAAGTCAATTCCAACTTATGGTGACCCCCTCCCAGGTTTTCTAGGCAGAGAATACTCAGAGGTGGTTTACCCTTCTCTTCTTCTGGCACTATGGATCTTGCTCAAAGCCACACAAGGCTGGCTCTACTCACAGGAGGCAAAATGGAGAATCAAACTCTCAACCTCTGGCTTAGCAGCCAGATACCTAAAATGATTTATTTATTTAGTATTGAATTTTTATCCATCCCTTCTAGACAGGAGTCTACTCAGGGCAGCTCACAATATATTAAACACAAAAACAGATTTAAAAACAATTAAAATCTACAATAATAATATAATCAAGATGGAAAAGTGAATGGCAGAAACCAAGAAAAATAAAAATCAAGTATTGGCAGGAGGGAAGAGCCAAGGTTTTAAACAATTGAGCTTATCCAGCCAGCTATCTTCTTTTCATAAGAACACTGAAATGATGAGAATAATGCCTTCATTTCCCCTCCACTGAGACATAAGGCAGAACGAGAATGAAAAATCATTGCCCAACTTCATCTAATGCGTTCCTTGATAAAATCTTTACATTATACTTTTTTGCTCATGTGCTTTATATGTAATAATCACAGTTACATATTCTCTTCAGTTATCACCATCATCCTACTGGTATAATAGCAAGCTATAACATGAAATAGAATTCACTTTTGATGTAAAATATAAATATGGTTTTGATGAACAAGCATTTCATCAAAGCATTTGGATCACATGTTTTGTGTGATTTTTAAAATGGGAGCAGAAATGAGCGGTCAGGAGGAGGGTGTCCACTCACTGTTTTTTTTAAAAAATCCATTCTCTACCAGAATAAAATTAGGCCCTAACAAACTAACTAACTAACAGATTTCCACATATCCCACTTTCACTACAATAATAGATATCCCAGTATGGCAAAATAGATGTCGTAAGTCACAATGGCAGTTTATAGGAAAACTCATGTAAAGGGATGGATTAGGAACTTCTGAATGTTTCATGGTCACTTGTTTTCATTCCGTCGCAAGGAAGCATTCTTCCTTTATTTGACTGATTCTTTTCACAGAGAGACGACTCATGAGGATAAAGGGTTTGTCACAGGAAGTGACCTCCAAGGATATGCTACACACCCTTTCTCAGGCAAAGAGAGAATGCTGGGACCGGTTTCTGCAGGACAAGTCTGAGACTGACTTTTATATGGAGGGAGCTGAATCAGATGAGAGGTACTGATGTGCAATGAGGGCCTTATTCATACAGTATATCAAAGTTGGAATATTTTAACAGGGTGGCTGAAGTGTGGCCTGTGTGGCCCATTCACCTCCCCAGGTCGAAATGCAGCACCCCAGCATTCACTTTCACACCAATATATGTCATTAGCAGATTTTGTGTGTGTGGTGTGTGTGTGTGTGGTGTGTGTGTGTTTGCTTGTAAGTAGAGATGGGGGTATTCTTATTTGTATACGAATACGAATACCCCCGCACAGGTGGTGATAACGAGGGTCCCGCCCCATGGGGCTGGATGGTCCACTCACCGATCTGCCGTTGCTGCGGACACTGAGATTCTTCCAGTGGCTCTGCAGATTGCGATCTGTAAGCTACTCTTCAACCTTGCAGCGAGGGTTGTCCTCCTGCCTCCTGCCAGGAGTGGCTAGCCAGTCACGATCTGCGAAGCCATTGGAAGAATCGCGGCGGCAGCGGTGGATCGGTGAGTGGACCATCTGGCCCCATGGGACTGGACCCTCGTTATCACCACCTGTGTGTGGATATTCATTTTCATATAACAGTGGACCCTCGACTTACAGATGGCTCCACTTACAGACTTTTCGAGTTACAGACTTCTCTGGCCGCAAAATTTAGGTTCGACTTGCAGCCTGAGAATCAACCTACAGACCACAAGAAAAAAAAATGGAACAATAACGGCCGGTTACGAATTAATCGGTTTTCAATGCATTGTAGGTCAATGGAGCCTCGACCTACAGACTTTTTGACCTGCAGCCAGCATTCCAATATGGATTAATTCCATAAGTCGAGGGTCCACTCTACGCATACCCCATCTCTGCTCATAAGTCAGCTTTTATCCTTGTGCCTTCTAATGGACATAGCAAGCAATTGTCCAGGACCCCCAGTACACCTCCCTGCCACATCAGTATAGTTTGTTAAAATGGTCACTAGAGGACTTGAATGAGCCTTTCAGTTTAAATTTTTTTTTAAAAAAATGTATTTTGGGAATGGGTGGGGCACAGTTGCAGTCCTTTATGGTCTAAGGCTGAGCCCACCCCTGTCTTATAGAAGTGCCCAGTACTGTGGGAGGAGAGTGTTCTGGAGTTTAATTTAAACTATGGCTCATACCTGGCTAAGGACCTGTTTTCAATGCCAGGATTTAGCCCAAGAAACAGTGGAGGAGAACTGGGGAGTCTTCCTCCCATCAAATGTTTAACTTACAGCTCCCACCAACCTTAAACATGGCCAGTGGAAAGGGTTTGTGGGAGTTGAAAGCCAAAATGTCTGGAGGCAGAGAGGTTCCCCAGCCCTAGAACAGAGTGTGCTTCTTTCCCACTAAATAACTATAATCTGCTTGGAATTTCACATCTGTTATGAGAAAGTCTGAAGTCAGGAGGGATTTAAAAGATGGATTTCCTCCTGTATTTTTGACATGTTTACAAATGTAGTAAGGATTCCAGTTTTCCAGTTTCCTTTGCAGATTTTAACTGTACAGTGTAGAAATTGGTTGGAGGTTGTCCTTCATCAGATTTTTTTAACATTGTGTGCAAAGGCATATTCTGTACAAGAGAACAAGAACTACTGTGTGATGTGCAATGAGGAATGGAATGGAACCTTTCTTCTTCTTCTTTTCTGACATTTTATGGGCAGGGGGTGTCTGGCAGTAATGTGCCAGTATATTGCTGTGGCTCCAGGATCTGTTGAGGGTGTTGTGTTTGACTGAGGGCTAGTCCACTAACTAGCCTAGGACCCGCTGCTCCCCAAATTCCATAATCACAACTGGTCATAAGTCCACTTCTAGTTTCTTACAAGCCTCTTTGTGATAATGGTAGGAAAGGAGGAGATGCCTTGCTTTTTAAGAAGAAGTGCTATATCTGAAAACTTCCAGGAGTTCTCTTTTGGGGCTGAATTTGTGTTCAGATGTTGCAAAAATAGTCAAGGGCAGTATATGGCCTGGAAGTGCAAAAATGGGCTTGCAGCCATAGGTAGCGCATGTGTTGCCCAACCCTTTGGATAATTAAACTCTGCATCCCTTGCCAATTGCATCCTTCTCCACATTCTATTGTGATTATTTCATTAATATAAATCAATCATAGGCTCTTGTAGGCATCATTTATGCATTCTTTTTGAATAGCCATTTGTTCTACAGAGACACCAGGACAGAATGCTTCTTTTGCCCTACTAAGTTATCACACTTGCTCTAGACAATCTGAACTTGTTTTTATGATGTTAGAGAAAGGGCTTCTCTGGTTCAGAATGATGGTAATGTTCCTTCAAAAATGTCTTAATGTGAAAAGTATGATCTGGGGAGAAAGCCCTTCAGAAACCATGGCTGACTGTGGGAGGTTTTATCTGGCACTGGGAGAATGTTGTCCCTCTACATTTCTGCAGAGACAATAGCCTGAATATAGAAACCTTGGTGACGGGAGACCTGTGCCAGCCTTGTCATGTGTCTTGGAGCTAATTTATTGTGCTGTTGTGATATCACTTTGCTCCCACTTGCTGTCTGACCTTGTACAGCAGGGTGAAGAATGTGTGGCCCTCCAGATGCTGTTCCCATCATTGTTCATCCTTGGACCATATTGGCTGGGATTGATGGAAGTGGAGTAGTGTTATGGATGGCAGCTGTCAGGATCCCCCATCCTGGCTGTGGGATTCTGGAAGCTGCCATCCAAAAATTATTTTTTTCCAAGCTTGGGATGAAGGTAGCAGTCCAATAACATCTACAGACCTGCCTATCTCCTACCCTTGTTATATGTAGCCAGGGGCTCTTTTAATTGACTACATATTGCTCGTTGTCTTAATTTGTCTTATTTATTTTATTTTTATTTTATTTATATATTGTCTTAATTTGTCTTATTTTTTATTTTATTTATTTATTTATTTATATCCCACCTATCTAGTCAATTAAGACCACTCTAGGCAGCTTACAACAAAATATAACAATATAATTAAAAACAATTTTATATAAGGGGGAAAACTTTGACAAGATGGGACAGACACTAGGAAAAGGAGAGTTTTAAACATGACATGTGCCCCTAAGCCTGTGAATTATAAATGATATTACACATGTCAAGTAAAAGCTGCTTGCTTGTCCTCACACTGCTTTTCCCCAAAGAGAACTGGAAAAATGAGCAAACTGGCCGTTTCTGTACCACAAAACCCTTTCCTGCAGTATAAGTTTGATTTTGCCACACGGTTTCTGCTTTGCTCATCCCTGCAAAGTCTAATAAATAAATTGGATATTTCAAGTTCTGCAGAGTATTTTCGTCTTTGGTTCTGTTTGCAGAGCTTGGAAAATTTAGTTTTTTGTAAAAAGTAGAACTCCCAGAATGCCCCAGGCAATGGCCTTGCTGGGAGTTGTAATTTTTTAAAAAAATCTTAATTTTTCCAACTTCTCTCTTGCTGTTCTATGGTTCATTAGGATAAATGTTCTGACAGGGTTAGACTGTTCATATATTGCTTTGAATGTCTAATTAGAAGAGGCTCTACTATATTAATTTTGGCTGAATTCTCATCAATTCCTAACAGCTGTTCCCTATTGACATAATTATTATTGGCCAGCATGTATCAGTTCATTAGCACTCAAAGTACTTTTGAGAATCATGCAGGTTTCTGAAGCTCCCATGTGTTCCTTTGCTGGGTTGTTCACCAGGCATCGGCAGCTCATGGACTGCTGAGTCCAATCTCCATAGCCAGTGGTGGAACCTGATTGTTGTTGCCCTTGAAAGACAGCTAGAGGGCACACATTGCTCATGTGTTGTTGTATTTGTGTTTTATCTGTTTGTTTACTACACATAAATGTTTACTGCACATGACACATAACTTTCTTCCAAAGAATTCAAGGTAAACTACCTGACTCTCCACCCCGCCTCGCCCGCCAGCTGTATCCACATAACGAAGCCATGAGCCTAATTGTGCTGAGAGTGAATGGCTAAAAGCTCACTGGGAATGTGAATTTGTGCATCCTCAGTAGTAGTTTGATATTCCAACATCTGTCTTCTTAGCTGTTGACTGAAGATAATCAAATAGAGTGTCTGATTACGTTGTCTATTGGTCTCCTCCCCCCCCTCGTTCTTATTACTGTATGTTTTACCTTATTTTTTTCTTCCCCTCAGCACCCTAGAGCACTTGAAGCGCTGGCTACAGCCTGACAGAGTGGCCATCAGTTCTGAGGAGATGCAGTATCTGATTCCCCTCGAGGCTTGTATGGAGAAGCAGGAGTCTGAAGAAGAGTCCATGGCTGTGGAGCAGTGAAAGACAACCCTCCAACCTGGGAGTTGGGTGGAATTTTTTGTTAAAACAGCAAGTGGAGGGAAATGCCAATATTTGGCTGAGGTAGACCTCAGTGTTTTTTGTTTTTTGCTCACTTACAGTGGGTATTCCAGTTTGAAGTCACAGATTTAAAGTTAGTCATGTGTGTTCTGCTAAGACAACAGAACATGAAGGCAGTGGATATACACTTGGTATTTTGAGATGGACTGGAGTGGGATGTATGAATAAAAGAATCAGTTGATTCACTTTGTGTCCAAATCTTCCCCAGAGCATCTTGTTTTAATATTTCTGAAGAACATGAATCCACGCTGCACCTTTATATCATATTCTTTTCATTGGCAATTGGTTTTAATCCAGCCTTGAAATGTACAGAAAACTATACTCTCAAATTCCAGTGTATGGGAACTTTTTTTTGCCATTCCGTCCCTACAACAGGGGCCCTAGTCTACATCCACAGAGGTTTCCGGTGTGCCCTGTACAGTCTTTCTCTAGAATCCTGCTGCCGCCCAGCTAGCTGGGAGCAGAGTTGCCCGTCTTGCCTTCTGACATCTCATCCTGTCGTTGCAGCTCTAGCTGAAGTCTAAGGTGCAGACCCAGTTGGCTTTTGCTCTTCTTCCTTTCTCTTTGCATGGGGGAGGAGGTGGAGGAGAGAAGTGCTAGGGTTAGGCGGTCTACCCAACAATTGAACCATGTTGTCTGTTAAAGGCCTGGCGTGGTGGTGTAGGAGGCCACCGGCATCTATTATCCCAGTAAATATGATCCCTCACCTCCTTATGGTGTATGATTCCCTAATGTATTCATTCTAGGGCTGAACCTACATGTACTGAGCAGTTGTGTGTATCTCTTAGCTTCTTTTAATGTGAAAATGTCCTTGTATATTATCTTTAATGTGAGAGATGTATATGCACCTGTGTGCAGCTTTTCTTGTCTCCACCTTTAGTTAAAAGTCTGTAATCTATTTCACTGCATGTGATACATAGTTTTAGCCTTAGATAAATAACTTCCTAGCAAAAGAAAATAAGAAAGCTCTTTGCATTAACATTGTTATTTTGTTCCCACAAGGAATAGGTTTTGAATCAAAATCTGAGTCTAAATATAATCATCTTCTTTCCCCTTTAAATTAAAAACTCTGGAATGGATTAAGTTTGCTGTATTCTTGGCATTTACAGACCAATGTGATGATCTTTCTAAAACCTTTTATGTTTCTAGCCAGTCTATTTGTATCTGTTCTATTCTTCACCTTTGATTTTCCTTGTTTCTAAGAAGGAAAAAAAACAAAGCATTGTGAAACAATTATTCCAAACTGTAGCAATGATTTGGAATAAGAAGACCAAGTATGAAGCTAAATCTGAGCTGAAAAAAGCAGGATATCTTTCATAAACTATTTCCTTTTCCCATGATATATGCCCCCATTTCATTGGTTACAGGTGAAAGGAAGAGGGGTGAAAAGTCTTTGTCTTCCAGTTACACACATTCCCAATCTACACAGCATCTCTGCCTCTTCTGTTTCCCATCTGCCAGCCATTCTCCTTCACTGCTTCCCTCCTCAATATATTTTAGAATCTCTTATTAACCTCCCCCCACCCTGTATCTTGCTTTGTACAATTTCTTCCAATTGGCCTTCTACTTCGTATACATTGTTATGTAACTAGTCAGATTTGATTACACAACATCATCATAGAAGGCAAACCGAAGGTGAATATCTTCTTTTGCTCTCAGTGAGGATGCCATGTCATTGTATGAGATTGGCTGAGAAAGTCAAAGAGTGATTTAAATTCATTCTTTAAATGGCAGAGGAATAGCAGGTCAGAATCACAGTAATCAATATCATTAAAACAACATGAAAAATTAGACAGGGTGGATCTCTGCTTTGAAATGCTTTTGCACCGGATCGCTTGAAATTTGAGTTTGTAGAGATTTTTGGAATAGCACAATTAAAGTACACAAGGAGAAATATGTGATTCTGAAGGTTTTTTGTTTTGTTTTCACTTGCATAGCATGGTTGTCTCCTCCCCAAAGCTGCAGAGAGGTACTGTTTTATTGAAGTTAAATTATTGAAATTATCAGTGCTTAAGACTCCAGATATTAGTTATGTAAAACATCTCAAAACCTGATACATTTATATTTTATTTGATTTTATGTTTAGTACAGCTCTGGATGGTTTCTGCCCTGATGGATGTGAGCTGAATATTTTACTGTTGCACTGCTGCATAGTCTATAGATGGTCTGTTTGTATAGTTAGTATACTTGACACAAATCACTTTCAATGATTTCTGTTTAAATCCAGTGCAAAATATATATGCTTGTGTAGAAGGAGGAGATGTGACTTTGTGAATTATTTATTATGCATATACTGTCTTTCTCCCCATAGGAGACCCAAGGCAGATCACAGCAGCTAAAAGTGTACAATAATCAACAGTTAAAATATTAAAAAACATTTAAATGTACTGTATTTTTCCGGGTATAAAACTGCAGTTTTTCCTTAAATAATTAGCCAAAAAATTGAGGGTCGTTTTATACACGGAAGGCAGCCACTTTTCCCTGCCTTTTGCGAAGCCATGGGGCTTAGCAAAAAGGAAGAGAAGGCTCCCTTTGAGTAAAGCAGCTGTGAAAGGGCTGTTGATCCTGAAGCCCATCCATGGCTGCTTTATCCAATTCCTAAGCCCCACAGGAAAAGTGGCAGTCAAAGGGAGCCCTTTGATCCCTGCTTTTCCCTTCCTTTTGCTAAGCTCCATGGCTTAGCAAAAGGAAGGGGAAAGCAGGAATCAAATTTTCTAATTTAGGTTTATACATTGCCTTGTCCTATAAATGGAAAAATACAGTTTATGATTAAAACCAAAATTACAATCAGTTTTAAAATATATTTAAAAACATTTACACTTTACTAAGTTTAATAAATGTAGCATTTGAGAGATGCTTATTGCTAGTATATGAAGATTAAAACCAAAATTAAAATCAGTTTTAAAATATTTTTAAAAACATTTACATGTTTCTAAGTTTAATAAATGTAGCATTTGAGAGATGCTTATTGCTTAAAAGCTGTATGTAAGGACAGATGGATGTATGGGGCTGTTTGCTATCTCTCAATCTTCTGAACATAACTCTCTTTTGCCAATTGCCAGTACAAATATGAAAAAACCACTCCAATTATGAAATCCTGCTAAAAAGATGCAAAAAAAGTAGGCCAACTCAGAGTCCTATACGTACATCCAAATAGTCTGTCTCTAACAGAGTTGAAAGACAAGTATTTCTTGGTAGAGTATGGAAATTTATGGCTTAGAAAACCTCTAGTTATACAGGGGAAAAAAGATTCACGGACCTACAGAGCAGAATTAGCTTCAAGACTCCTCACAGGAGACCACAGCCTTTTTTGTTTTCTTCTTAACTGGCACTTACTGTCTCAACAACCCAGAAAGAGAAAGAAAAAAGGTTTAATTTACTCATAGTTCCTAATAGATCAATAACAGCATATTGTAGGGATAAATGATGTGATTAGATGAACAGAGCTTAACTGATTATTGGCTGCATTACTACATGACTGACTGAATATTGATTACATACTGTTTAACTGAATATTGACTGAAAAACAGTGGGGGGAAGCTCTTAGATAGAAAGAGAGGCATGGCTTTTTTTAAAATATGAGGCAGAGAGGGAAGAATTGGTTGCTTCTGAATTGATTGACAGTTATCTCAGCCCAGAAAGGCCCCTCCCAGCCAAAACCTCTTAAAGGAGGTATACAGAGTCTGTTCAAAGAAGCTAGTGATGAAATTATAGATAAGAAATTAAAGAAGCTGGCATTTGATACATAGATAAGTGAAGTAATTTCAAACAAAACAACAGCAGTGCTTTTCAGTCACTGGGAACTGAATTTCCTATTAAACTATTTAAAAATATGTGAAGTGGCTTCAGTTAATTATTTTTCCAACTCTGGAAAAGATGTTCTTAAAGTTTACAGTCTGTCTCTAGTGTTTTCCATGCACTTGGAGCTTTACTAACTGGAGAGAGGACAGGATCTCCTCCTCAGTCCAATTGTAGTTGAGTTCAAGGATTGGCAGAGAACTAAAAGGGGAAAGTGGTTAAGTGGAAAAGGTTCAGAACAATCAAATTTCTGCTAGAAAGCAGGCGTAACACTCTTGCAATCAGCAGTAGAGGGGGAGATACATGCCATTGATTCCTCTCTCATTTAGTAGTGAGGGAAAAGGGTATTTTTTAATTAGTGTTTATACTGGAGACTGTATATCCCATCCTGTTTTTGTTTTGTTTTCTTTTTCTTTGTTTATCTTTGTCAGTTGCCTGGAAACCCAACCATTTGTGGATTGGAGAAATCAAAAGGGCTGCATCAGCACTTGGGAATCCCACAGAGTGAGTCTGTGGGCAGGTCAAGAGATCAGACATTAAAAAAAACGGTAATACAAGTAGAGAAATAGGTGATACCTTTATTGGACCATTAAGAAAACAAAACCAAAAATTAAAGCAAGCTTTCGATGATCATTCACCTTCCTCAGGCTCTGCATCAGGTTCTCGTGGGTAGCTGAAAAATAATGTTTATATTAAAGTCCCAAAAGTTTCATGGCTGCAGTTGGGGGCCAAGCACAGCACCTTAGATGAAGGCAGCTGTAGTTTGCACTCTGTGAGAGCCAGTGATTTGCCAACTATGGCCCATCTCTGAGCCAAAGGTGACCAACAATCTGATTTCTCCCTTTTCCTTTCTGCCATCATCATTGAAAGCTAGCTCAAATTTTTTGTGTTTTGTTTTACTTTTTTAATGGTCCAATAAAAAGGTAAAGGTAAAAGTTCCCCTTGACAATTTTTGTCCAGTCATGTTCGGCTCTAGGGGGCGGTGGTCATCCCCGTTTCCAAGCCATAAGAGCCAGTGTTTTGTCCGAAGACAATCTTCTGTGGTCACATGGCCAGCGCGACTTAAACACAGAACACTGTTACCTTCCCACCGAGGTGGTCCCTATTTATCTACTTGCATTTGCATGCTTTCGAACTGCTAGGTTGGCGGGAGCTGGGACAAGCGACGGGCGCTCACTCCATCGTGTGGATTCGATCTTACGACTGCTGGTCTTCTGACCCTGCAGCACAGGCTTCTGCGGTTTAGCCCACAGCACCACCATAGGTATGGCCTATTCCTGCATTTGTATTGTTCTGAGGACCATGCAGCCTTGTCCTGATTTTTTTCTGAACTTTGTAAAAAACAAGCAGTAACATTATTAGGCTTTTCACACATTTCAGAAAACAGGGGCTACATAAAATGCTATTTTAGAAAATATACCTTGCTTAGGACCTACACTTTTATATTGTTCCGATCATGAGCAGTGGTGTGTGTTTTGTTTAGAGAATTAGATTCCTGTACATGTTTACCAATATAGGACAGATAGACGTATGGAAATTTTCCACAAACGAGTATCCTTGGGGTGGTGATAGCTCTCAATACACCAGTTGCTGAACTTTTAGTTGAAATTAGCCACAGGCCATGACAATAAAACAAGCAAAATTGCAGACCACAGTAAGAAACCCAAAGTTATGAGATTAGCATTTAAACAAAGCTCTATAAATTGTTCCAATTAGTTTTCATGAAAAGAGTTGAAACAGAGGGTAAAGTAAGAACAATGAAATGAAAGAATTGCACATCTACAGTGAAGCTGTATTCCAGAACATGGCCAAACAACCCAAAAAGCCTACAACAACCATCAGATCCTGGCTGTGAAAGCCTTCAAGAATACAGTAAACCTGTATTATTCCCAACCTTCAGTTTTGCAACAGAAGTGTGTAATCTTTTTGCTGCCATGGTGAACAGAGCACTCCAGTGACTGACAGAGGGATAATCATCACAGATAAGTTCTACTGTTACATCCTGGGATGACCTATTATTATACAGTGGTGCCCCGCATAGCGACAACAATCCGTTCCGAAAAAATCGTCGCTATGTGGATTCGTCACTATGAGGGGCAAAAAAGCCCATAGGAACACATTAAAACACGTTTAATGCGTTCCTATGGGCAAAAAACTCACCGTTCTGCGGAAATTCTCCATGCAGCCACCATTTTAGCTGCCCGGTAAGCGAGGAAAGGGCGTGAAAACACAGCGGGCGGCCATTTTTTTTACCCGGCGGCCATTTTGGAACCGCCAACCAGCTGTTGGAAAAACATCGTTATGCAATAATCGGTAAGTGAAACAGCTTACCGATCATCGCAAAGCGATGTTTTCCCATTTAAAACATCGTTTTGTGATCGCACAAACTCAATCGCTATGCAGATTCGTCGTTAAACGAATCGCTCATTAAGTGAGGCACCACTGTACTGGGCAGTAATAGAAGAAAGGAATTTCAACCCTGGTGCCCTACATGAAGGCTGAAATCTTGCTAGTGCCACTCCAGGTGCCTAAAGTTGATGTCATCAACCATGGCCTCTTAGCACTAAATAGAAGTTTCCAATCTCCCCCCAGCCCCAGGTTCCAAAGCTCCCTAAGGATCACCTCAAGGTAACCATGGTGAGTCTTGGGACAGAGGAAAGTTGTCTTTAATGTCCAAAAAGTGCCAGTCTCAGTCCTGGTGGTGGCGATGTTCAGATATTGAAGACTTCTTTCTCCAATTTGAGACTCCAATTTTTTTTTTCCCAGGATGAAAATGATCCATCAGGAGCCTTGGAACCTTTTTGGGATGGATGGGTCAGAAAATTCTGTTTAAAGCCACAGCTGATGGTGCCATCACCTTTACTCATGCAGAACTGTGCAATCACCATAAACATACCTTTGTTCTGAGGGAAGTACAGTAGAAGTATATCTCCCGCCTAAGGTAAGCTGAGAAAATTGGAGATAAAAGGAATTTTTGTGCAAAGATGGACATGATAAAGGACAAAAATGGTAGGGACCTTAGAGAAGCAGAAGACATCAAGAAGAGGTGGCAAGAATACACAGAGGAATTATACCAGAAAGATCTGGATGTCCTGGACAACCCAGATGGTTGCTGACCTTGAGCCAGACATCCTGGGGACTGAAGTCAAGTGGGCCTTAGAAAGCCTGGCTAACAACAAGGCCAGTGGAGGTGATGGCATTCCAGCTGAACTATTTCAGATCTTAAAAGATGATGCTGTTAAGGTGCTAAATTCAATATGCCAGCAAGTTTGGAAAACTCAGCAGTGGCCAGAGAACTGGAAAAATCAGTCTTCATCCCAATCCCAAAGAAGGGCAGTGCCAAAGAATGCTCCAACTGCCGTACAATTGCATTCATTTCACACGCTAGCAAGGTTATGCTCAAAACCTCCAAAGTAGGCTTCAGCAGTATGTGGACCGAGAACTCCCAGAAGTACAAG